CAAAAAACAGCTGTTGGAGACAGAGAGGAGAAAAGGGGGGGGGGGGGGTGCTCCTGCAAGCCAGGGAGCTCTTGAGGTGGGTGTTGGAGGGATGTGAGAACAGAGACCCTGGCCCAGATCTATGTGGTTTTTTAAGCTTTTTTTTTTTTTTTTTAACTGTGTAAATGAATTTTTAAATATCTTGTCAGTGTGACTACATAAAATAAATAAATCACTTTCATTAATAGCAAAATAATATTCTACTGGCTTAAGAATAAGCCTTTCCATCATTTTCTAGAATAAATAATTTCTTACCTCCAGGAGACCCTATTTTGAAGCCTAGTTCTTGTTTACTGGTATATTGTGATTATTTTTATTATCAAAGCAGGAGAAATGAATTATATATAGTTTAGGTAACATTTGAATAGTATGTTGTACACTCAATAAGTTTTCTTTTTGTAAATGTCTTAGGTGTGTGAAGCAATTGACAACAGAGCTGGACGATCGTGTGCAGAGTTGGTATCATTTCAGCACCCTCATGTTGCGAATCCACGGCTTCAAGTGAGTCCAAGAATCATATACATGGGTCTAGAGAAAATGGTAGTACAGCCAATTTCTTAAGAGTCTGAATAAAAGGAAAATGAACATTTCCAGTTTTATTTTAAAATTTCAAGGTTCTTTTATAATGTAACCGATTCTAACTTAAGTAACATTTACAAAGTGCTGAGTGTGTCCAATGCTGGACTGAAATATTGGTTAGTTGCTGCTGAGTACTAGATGTAGTTTATATGACTGCATTTAGGGGTTTTTCAACTACTCTGAGGTACAGAAAGTCTGAGTACCGTATCCAGGCCACACCGCTCAGTTTGGAAGCGCTTCAGCTGACTCAGACCCAGACGTGCCCAGTTCCTGAGTTCAGGCTGGCACCGCTGGACAGTGCCTGCCACGTGTTTTTAACTCACTGAGACTGGACAGCACACTGCCGAGCCCGAGCGTACCCCAACACACACATACCTGTCATTTATATGTTGTCGGTGGCTGCTTTTGTGTTATAACAGCACAGCTGGTAGGTACAGCTGAGGCCTTGGGGCCTACAAAGCCTGTCGTATTTCTAATCTAGCATTTTATGGAAAACATTTATTGACACGTGTTCTAAAATGTCATCTCCTTACTTTAGAGGTTAACTGATAGCCCCAAAACAGTTTCTGTAGAAATACTGTTGACATTTTATAAACTGTTTCCGTTTGGAGCTCTGGTTTGATACTGTAGGATCAGCAGTTCAGACCCATCGGCTACTCTCAGAAATCCTCTCCAGACTCACTGTGAGTTGGAATTGATTCAACGACACCCAACATTTCCTTATTGAGTCTTGTAATGATTTGAAGGAGATTCTCACTGTTATGGGTGGTGTTAAGTGCCATTGAGTCAGTTCCCACTCATAGCAGCCCTGTATAGGGTTTCTGAGGAGCAGCTTACGGGTTTGAACTGCTGACCTTGTGGTTCACAGTCCGGTGCTGATCCTACAGCGCCACACCAGAAGTCCACATGTTCTCACTGAGGAGCAAAATTTCTCTTGTGGGAAAAGGTCCTGATATTTTGATGATTTCTTGTTGTTGTGAAGTGCCGTCGAGTCGATTCCGACTCATAGCAACCCTGTATAAGCTTTCCAAGGAGCAGCTGGTAGATTTGAACCACCGACCTTGTAGTCCAGTGCATGATCCCACAGTGCCACACCAGGACTCCATATTTTGATGATTAGGCCAACTTCAGATTACAAATGGACAGACTGTTGTGTACCTCCTGAAGTAATGCAGTACGAAGCACAAAGAACCATCTAAGGAGTGTTCTGACTAAATAAATCATTCTGGATGACTCATTTCTAGGATATATGTAGTAAAGTACCTAGAATAGTACTGGCCTATGGCAGGCCAGACCAAATTGCCCAGGGCTACCAGTGTCCTTCCCATAAGCAGTACTTGATAAATACTTGTTGATGTAATGAACCTTTTATTTAGAGGTGCTAAAGTTTAAAGTATTGTTGCTAACTGTGAAGTGTAACTATTTTGAAACAAATTGTTTAGGTTTCTTTATCTACCTGTTTTAGTTATTTTTCTCCTTGTGAATTAGTTGCCCTCTCCAGAAGAGAAGTGTCAGCAAGTTTTGGAACCCCCATATGATGAAATGTTTGCAGCTCATTTAAGGTAATACACTGGTGAGGAAGGAAATAAACTCATGTGGAAATTGTTGGGTTTATTAGGGGTTTAATCTTACATGATCATGTGTTGGAAGCAGTGTTTAACTTTGGCAACTTGTTTAAGTTCCGTTGAATCAATTCCGACTCATAGTAACCCTGCATAAGGTTTTCAGGGAGTAGCTGGTGGGTTTGAACTGCTAACCTTGTGGTTCACAGTCCAGTGCTTAGCCTACAGCACCACAACAGGAGTCCATTTGGCAATTTAGGAAAGTGCGTTTATAATTTAACTTTGGTAAAGGAGCTCTGGTAGCGTAGTGGTTACGAATCGGGCTGTGAACCACAAGGTCAGCAGTTCGAAACAACCGGCTGCTCTGTGGGAGAAAGATGAGGCTTTCTGCTCCCATAAAAATTTACAGCCTCGGAAACCCTGTTCAGGGTTGCTATGGGTCAGAACCGACTGGACACCACTTAACAACAGCAACGATTTAAAATTTTTTGCAAAATTACAAATAAAATTTTAGGATTTTTTTTTTTCAGTTCAAGCATCGTGTTTTTTGAGGGGGTGGTAGTGGGTAGAAGTAAGGAGTGAGAGTTGGGATTGGGACTAGATCTAGGCTAGGCTTAGAGTTTAGTGTATTGTTAGCGTTATGGTCAGGACTAGGGTTCGTGTGGGGCTGGGAGTAAGGCTTGGTCTAGTTTCTAGGGTTACAGTTAAGTGTTTTTTGTTTTTTTCCTTGAAATCTATTGGATTTCCTCTTTATTTTCCCTCTCTTTACGTTATGGTTTTTCATTGTTATTGTCATAGTTAAAGATTTATACAGATAAAACTTTCTACTTACACAAAGGAACAGTCAGAAAATAGGATACCACGAATGACATCAGAACTGCCTAATAAGGAATTTGATAAAATGCTCATTAGGCAGCCTCACGGGCTGGGTGTTTTCCCTGGCGCTCCCCCCTGTGTCTCCTGGTGGGTGTGTAGACTAGAAGTGTGACCGCAGTTGTAGCTGCAGCCCCTGGCCATCAGCCTCAAGGTACTTCCTGTGTCAGTAGCAGGCCACAGTCTGCCTGGTTTTCTTCTCTACCTGCTCCTGGTCAGCTCCCTCTTCTGGTGGGCACTCAGCCCCCGTCTGTCCTGTGCTCTGTGGCTCAGGGTTTCAGGATCCCTGTCTGTGTCTGCTTCACTCTGTCTCCCAGCTCCCTGTTTCAGAAGGCCAGCTCCGTGTGGCTCCATACTCCACCACAAATATCTATTGTTGTAATACTATAAAAATATTACTTAACGTTTGTCATATTCATTCATATTGCTATATATTAAGTAGTCTTTTATTTAGTAGCCCAACCAGTGTCTTATTTTTATCATGGGAATATGTGTATTTTTTTGAAAACTTTGAATTATGAATCGAGTGAAGGTTTATAAAGCAGATAATCAATTTCATAGCCAACAAATCACACACTGTGTTTCATCTCAATGATTTTAATCCCCTCCCACTTCCTCCTGTGTCCCTATTTCCACACCACCTCTTTCCCACCCCCTCCAGACTTTGTGTTCAGGTAAATGAGGCCCTTTTCTTCTTAAATGACTGCCCAGTGCATGGTGAGCGTAACTTACCAGTGTTCAACATTTTTACATGTACAGTTCAGTTTTGTGACATTGGTTCCTTAATCATGTTGTGGAACCATCACGGCATGTCTGTTTACAAATTAGTCCACACTAAAGTTAAGGTTTTTGATACTTTTAATCACAAAACTCTGTGAAGTAAATACTATTATCCTTATTGTATAGACTAGAAGCCCTGGTGTGGCACTGCTGGTTAATGTGCTGGATTGCAAGGTTGGCAGTTCAAGCTCACCAGCCACTCCTCAGAAACCCTATACAAGGTTGCTATAAGTCAGAAGCAACTCGATGACACTTAACAACAACAACAACAACAAATGTGGAGTCCTGGTGTGGCGCTGTGGGTTAATGCACTGGACTGCAAGGTCAGTTTGAATGGCAAGGTTGGTGGTTCAAGCTCACCAGCTGCTCCTTGGAAACCCTATACAGGAAGTAGGTTCTTCTTTTCTGGGACTTGAAAGAATAGTTTCAAAACTTAAATGTGGATTTCATTCTTCTTAGCCATGAGTATAAATACGCATTAGTTACCTGTTGAACAGGAAATCCCAACTCTCATTCCATGACTAGTTGGAGAAGCGCAGTATCATGTGACAGAAGTAAGGTGTGTGGTTTCAATAGTTGTAATTCTAGGTCTTTATTGTGAAAGTGTATTTGTTGACCTGTTCCCAATCCTCTGCCATTTCTTTTACAGGTGTACTTACGCAGTGGGAAACCATGATTTCATAGAAGCATACAAATGCCAGACTGTGATCGTTCAATATCTTTTTTGTTTGTTTAGGTCTTCAATATATTTGGACTGTAAATTCTTGAAAGATTGGGTCAGTTTTTCATATCTGTAATAATAAAGGAATTCAAACCTTTTGAAAAGAAACTAATTTTAGCGATTTCATTTGCATACTTAAATTTGGCAGGTATGTTACAACTATCATCTAGTTCATAAGATTGACCATTGATTATGGTTAAGGATTTTATTTGATTTTTTTAAAAAAGAATCATATATGTTGTTTTTAGGGTATTAAGTATATTTTTGGTGGTGGTTGTGTGCTATGGAGTTGATTCCGACTCATAGCGACCCTGCATAGGGTTTCTGAGGCTGTAAATCTTTGTGGGAGCAGCAAGCCTTACCTTTCTCTTGGAGCTGCGGGTAGTGTTGACCTGTTGACCTTGAGACTAGCAGCCCGACTTGTGACCACTACGCTCTTAGAAGCTCCTGGGTCCATTTATACCAAACCCAAATCTCTATATATGTATTTAGACCAAGGCCATTCATTGCCCTGAGTCGATTCTGACTTACAGAGTGACTTACAGGGACTCCCAGGTTGTAATCTTTACAGAAGCCCACATCCATATCTTTCTGTCATAATGGACTTAAAAATCACAGGGAGTAATTATGTTTCTTTGAATGATCAGTGTTTCTAAATTTAGGCCTAGATGGGAAAGAATGGATTCAGATGTACATTGTCATTTCATTGTGGTCACTGTGTTGTTGTTGTTGTTAATTGTCATCCAGTCGGTTCCAACTCTCGCGACCCTGTATCAGGTTTCCAAGGAGCAGCTGGTGAATCTGAACTGCCGATGGACCCTTGCTATTGTTGTTGTTAAGTGCTGTCGAGTTGATTCCCACCCATAGCGACTCTGTGTAGGGTTTCCGAGGAGCAGCTGTTGAACTTGAACCGCCGACCTTGTAGTTCAAACGGCTTTGCAGTCTGGCACATTAACCCACAGCACCACTCAAATCACTGAAGTGATTTTTTTTTTTTTATAGTTAAGGCTCTAATCAGTGAATATTCTAAGTATTATATGTGTTTCTAGATTTTAGTTGCTTCATTTTTAACTATCTTCTTTATTATACACAGAGCAAAGTAGACTATTAGATGGCTAAGTCTTCTTTGAATTCAAGAAGTCTATGATAAAAATAGAATTTTTGAAATAAACTATATTAATAGACTTTTAAGGCACTTATAGGAGTCCTGGTGTGGCGCTGTGGGTTAATGAGCTAGACTGGAAGGTCACTTTGAACCGTAAGGTCAGTGGTTCAAGCTCACTAGCTGCTCCTCAAAAACCCTATACAGCATTGCTGTGGGTCAGAACTGATTCAATGGCACTTAATAACAACAACAAAGGCACTTATATTACATGTAATATGTTATAGCCATTTGTGTTGTTCTTCAAGAAACCACTACTTCTTTGAACATAATATTCTAAAGGATGATTGATGACCTTTAAAATTTTAATCTTATTTATTTTTATCCTACGTAGTAGTGTTTGATTTTGTATATCATCTTTTCCTTAACATAATACATCATTCCTGCGAGCATTTCAAGCTCACAAAGAAGAAAACTGGTAAGTATGAGCAGAAACAGCTATGAATTAATTAATAGCAATTTTTTTAAAGCAGAAGAATTTGAAAAATTGGTTTAAAATAAATACTGTTTTTTACATGTATTTTAACATGTTGACGTATGATAATACCAACGTAGATTATAGAGTTAACAGAGTCCTGGTGTGGCATTGTAAGGTAAACTCTGGATTGCTGACCATAAGGTCAGTGGTTCAAACCCACCAGCCAAGTCACTCCTTGGAAACCCTTTACAGGGTTGCTGTGAGTTGGAACCGACTTTGTGGCACTTAACAAGCAATAACAGTGTAAACTAAAATGGATATCAGTCAGATTATTTGCAATTTTTTAAATATATAAAAAGTATCATTTTTATCTCAGCCCTTCCATTCCCCTAAATATTTATTAAATATTAAAAAGATTTGTCAACTTTAAACTTACTTTTGGCTTCAAGCACTGGATAAAAAGAGCTTTACCAACTACAATATAATACAAGGGGACTTCAGAAAGTTTGTGTACAAATGAAATTAAAAGATAATGAAATTTTTCCATGAACTTGTTGAAGCACCCATACTTAAAAATTGCATTATTTAAAATTCCTTGACAAACGAATTCTTAATTTTGTGGCAGAATTTACTTACAGACTTTTGTAAATACGGAACTTTTTTTGTACCAAAGAAAAGGCTTACAGTGAATACTTTTTACTAAAATGAGGCATTTTCCTTTGTGAGGTGAAGAGTTACACATGAAAGAAAGACCAGTATTGCCAGCTGTATTATTGTAAAGAATGTTTTATGACATTTTCTATACTGTATTCTTTGGTTCCTGCTAGGGAGTCTTTTTAAACCAGATCTTCCTTACATGGCAGTGTTTGGACTATAGCGAGGAGTGACTGGGAAGGAACTGCCCCAAGGACAGCCTGAGGAGGTTCTGTCTCGGCTTAGGACTCCTAGGGACAGGGTGTGAGGCTCAGAGGAGACTCAGGGATCTGAGGAGGTGCTGTCTCAGCTTAGGACTCCTAGGGACAGGGTGTGAGGCTCAGAGGAGACTCAGGGATCTGCTCGGAGTTGAGCATTTTATTATTGGCCTCTGTGTTGAACAAGAGGCCTGAGGTATTCAGTGTGCCCTGAATGGAAGGAAACAGTAACTCCCATTCTGGACAGTACCCTGGGCCATTTCACAGGCTATGTGACGTCATAGCCCTTTTCCAGTGTCTTCACTTTTTGCCTTCCCACCTCTGGTGGTTACTGTGTGATCTCACAGCCTTTCCCAATGTCTTTGCTTTTTCACAGGGCTTTGCCTATCATGTACGCAGTAGCACTTGACCTTCGAATATTTGCCAATAATGTAAGTGTCATTTCCTGTCACTGCTTATTATATTTTTAAGCAAGATTGAATGTATATTTGACACGCAGGTGGCAGGGACTGTCTCCCTGTTACTATAATTTTAAAAGGAAAATTCTGTGAGTGTTACTTAATTTCATGTTATTCTTTAAGAAAAACTTTTATAAACGAGTCAAGGTCAGGGTGTATTTGGCAAAGAGCACAGAAATGAAATAAAGCATGCGCCATGGATTAAATTGTGGTCCCCTCTCCACCCATGCGTGTCAAGTTGGATAGACCATGATTCTCAGAAGTTGGCAGTTATGTATGATGCAAGTTGGAAGTTGTATAGTGATATAGTCATCCCTGTGATGTTATCCGATGCTGTCATCCAGTCAATTCTAAAGGGCTTAGGGTGGGATGTAACACCCTTACTGAGATCATCGCCTTGTCTCATGTAAGGGAGTTTCCCTGGGATGTGACCTGCCTCACCTTTGATCAGAGATAAAAGGAGAAAGAATTGGAGCCTAGAACCTCCCAGACCCATGAGAAGACAGATGTCAAGATGCATGGGGATCTCCAAGGAGTGCCGGGCCCAGAGATGTTGCAAGGAGACAAGAATCTCGCCAGATGGAGCCCAGAGAGGAAGCCTTTCCCTCGAGCTGGCGCCCTGAATTTGGATTTGTAGCCTCCTGAACTGTGAGGGAGTTGAACCCTTGACCAGGGCTGACAGGTAGAGGAGAGTGCCCAGTGACACTTACTGGTAGAACTAATGAAGGCTATACATTTTGCCCGAGCAGAGCAGAGGCCTCAGGGCCTGTGAGAGACCAAGGAATCCCCTCAGAAGCTGAAGTGACAAGTAGTACAGGGAGTGGAGCTGCCTTGGGCTCAGACAGTTTGGGAATGGCCTCTAGGGCTTCCCAGGGTCCAGTCATTAGCAACTCACTTCCTAAGTGTGGAACTGCTGTTCTCCAGTGCTAAAGGGATGCGACCAGATCCACTGCGCAGACTCAGTGTTCATGGCTGCCATGCGCAGTAGACAGAAGAATGGGACCTGCCCACGACTGGACTGGGAGGACAAGGCCTCTCAGTGGTGCGGGAGCAGAGTTACCATTGTAGCGGTGGGCGGGGCCCTGTACCCTGAGTCTGGACAGAGACTGCTTTTACAAGTCTGCGAGTTGCTGGCAGTTGTGCTGGGTCCGGACTGTTTGGTCCCTATTATCTCTTCTCTCCCTCCAGTCTCTCCCATTTGTAACGGTGATGTCTCCCTTGTGCTTATTCTGCTGTTACACTTTGGAAGCAAAGAGCTAAACAGTCTAAATTTCATGGGTTTACAGAATGTGGGCTTAGAATTGATTTAAGACTGTTGGAATAATAATGATGGTGGTAGTGTGTTTTTCCTATGGCAAGAATTTTGGGGGGCCAAAAGGTGGAATGTCATGGATTGAACTGTGTCCTCTCAAAATGTGTGTCTGCGTGTCTGGGCCCTGATTGTCAGTGGTTTCGCAGTCATGTATGTGAGTATCCCCCATTTGTTGATGTGTTGTTAACCCTGACCCCTGTGTGCGGCAGGATGAGGTCATGGTCACGGGGCCTAGGTTATATGGTTACGTTTCTAAGGCAGGAGTAGTGTGGCATACAACCCCTTACTCAGGTCACAGTCCCCATCTGTGTAAGGGAACTTCCCTGGTATATGGCCTGTATCACCTTTACCTTTAAGAGCTAGAAGGAGAGTGCAGAAATCAGAGAGGAAAGCACTTGGCTACCACCTAGAGGAGCCTGTGGTGGAGCACATCCTTTGTGTACAGGGTCCCTTTACTGAGAACCTCCGAGGCCCAGAGGACACACAGGGAACACAGTTGCTGAAAGAAGACAAGGATTTTCCCCCAGAGGTGACAGAGAGAAAACGTTTCCCCAGAGCGGACACTCTGAAGTCAGACTCGTAGCCTCCTGAACTGTGAGCCAATAAATTTGCTACCATAGCCCCCGGTCATAAGCCTGGACGACTTCCTTAGCTGGTCTTTTTGAGTTGGTTTAGACAGCTGGACCTAAACAGTGACTCCGTTCTCACACTGTATGCCCATAGGAAGATAGGTTTGCATATGAGGGGCTTCAAAAAGTTGAAAAATTCTACTGTATTCTTATTCCCTTTTTCCATGAACTTTTGAAGCCCCCTTGTATAGTTAGCAGTTACAGTATTTGGTTATTTTTTAAAGGGGAGTGAATCATGCATTTTCTTGTCTTGACCAGCCCTATTTATAAAGACTTTCAGCTTAGTGTGGATTCAAGAGGCAGCGAAGGGTTTTTGCCAAGGCCAGATGGCAGCTTGCCTAGATTGCTGCCATTTTCTGGTGGCACTGAGAAGCCCTCCACCTCCCTGCTGGTTTGGTGTCAGAGGAGGCTGAGTAGGGAGCTGAGAAGTGGTGACCACATTTCCTGGTTTTCATGGTGTCATCAGTGACATACTAAAACAAAAGAAAATAAGCCCCCAAATGTCCAGGCTATATCTGAAACTCACTCATCATGCCGTCAGGAAAATCTCAAATTTTTGAGATTTTGAATGAGAAAAAACAATCCACAGGCACTAACACGAAGATGCCATATTGCCACCATTAAATGCTGTCGAGTCGGTTCCAACTCATAGCGACCCTGTGTAGGGTTTCCGAAACTGACAAGCTTTGCAAAAGCAGAAAGCCTCATCTTTCTCCCATGGAACAGCTGATGGGCTCAAACTGCCAACCTTATGGGTAGCAGTCTAGTGCTTATCCTATAGAACCACAGCATTGAAATGATCTGACCAGAATTTTAAATGCAGCCATTGTAAAAATGCTTTAGTGAGCAATTGTGAACACGCTCAGAATAAAAGAAAACATAGGAAGTCTCAACAAAGAGGGGTAGAGATTAAAGAAGAATCGAAGGAAAATTTTAGAACTGAAGATTATAACTAAATAAATATTACTGAGTACCCCAAAGAGCTTTTGTTTATATGGATTATGTTCTTTTATATTTACCTTATTAGAGATTTTAACTGGAAATTCAAAACAAAACATTCAAAATAGCTCTGAACGTTGTATATGTTGATAGAACTTTTTATGAAAACGATTTTTAAAGCAAACAAATGTACTTTGAAAAGTGTCACTCCTTGATATTTTCATCTCCTTAGTGTCTAGCTCAGTGAAAGCCATCTGGACTCTCTCATGTGCTCCCGCGTTTCGTCTGTGGCAGGATGTGGTTTTGGTGGTGGTGGTGTTGGTGATGTGGCGTGGAGTTGGTTCTGATTCATAGCGACCCTGTATAGTGTTTCCAAATACATGATACCAGTCTAGTCTCACACACAGAGTTGGAAAAGGAGGAGTATTTCAAAAGACTTTTATAATTTACATAATCTCATTTGATATTCTCAAAAGCCTTTTACAAATTAGATATTCTCCAAACTCCTATGAGGGTAGTTTTTTAAAGGTTAGTTATAATGTGGACTCTGAAATTCTGTCTGTAAACTTTTATTTTCTGTTTTATTGAAACTTAGTTTTTTTGTTTTTATTTTACATTTTGAATGTGTCTAACTGTTATCCACATGTGATTTTGTAACATTGGTCATTTGGAAAATGCTGGTTTATTATTAGGGTTATTATACACCTCTCCCAAAGGTTGACACATTTCATTATGTTAAAATATCCAGTGACCTCATCAGGTCTTAAAGTAATGGGAAATCTGCCAATTAATTCACTGTGGTTAGTAGAGGTTCTCCAAAATCTTAATTTTTGTTTGAAAGTGTAAATATTATCACTGACAGGGAATAACATTTGAGAAAATGACCTGCCAAGTACCCAAGCCTAAATACCCATGCTTTTCTTTCAGTTGTTTGTGCCATGAGAGATGTAGCTGGTTCAACCTGCAACTCATTTGCCTTAGTGCCTTTCCTTAACACAACTGTCGTTGGTCAGCACGTTGCAGAAGTGCTTGATAAATACTTCCTTATTTACAAAGATACACTCATGGATCACGGTTTAAAAGAAAAACAAACTACTATTTTCCAGATCAACAAGAACATTTAAAAAGTGAAACCGTTCACTTGTTCATTGAAAGCTTTGGCAGCTACAGGGACGACGGCTGCTGGTTCAGGTTGACGCCACTGGTGAGGCTCCAGCGGATTCACTGTTGGTTGCTCTCTCACCGTCCGTGGAGATGTCAGTACAATCAAAACAGACCGATAATGACAGATTGTTAGGGTGCGATACTTGCACATCTGGATTGGAGGAGGTTTCATTAACAGTTTACAGTATGTAGATGATACAACTTCTCTTGCTGAAAGTGAAGAGGACTTGAAGCACTTACTGATGAAGATCAAAGACTGTATAGTTTCAGAGTGGTTTACAACTCAGTGTAAAGAAAACAAAAATTTTACAATTGGACTATTATCATGGTAAAGGGAGAAGAGATTAAAGTTTTTGAGGATTTGATTTTACTTGGATCCATAGTCAGTGTTCATGGAAGCTGTAGTCTAGAAGTCAAATGACACGTCACATTAGGCAAATTTGCTGCATAAATAAATACTCTTTAATTAATGGGCTAAAGAGCGAAGGTGTCACTTTGAGGCCTAAGGTGCGCCTAACCCAAACCATGGTATTTTTGATAACCTGGTATACATGTGAAAGATGGACAGTGAGTAAGGAAGATGGGAGAAGAATCGATGCTTTTAAATTATGGCATTGGCAAAAAATACTGAAGGTATTATGGACTGCCAGAAGAACAATGAATCCGTGTTAGAAGAAGTAGAGCTAGAATGCCCCTTCAAAGCCAGGATAATGAGACTTCTTCTCTGGTACTTGGACCATGTTCTCAGGAGGGCCCAGTCCCTGGAGAAGGACATCATGTTTAGTGAAATTAGAGGGTCAACAAAAGAAAAGAGAAGACCACCCTTAATGAGCTAATTAATATACAGTGGCTGCATCCGTGTGCTCAAATAATTGCCATCACACAGTTGTGAGGAGAGCACAGGACCGGACAGTGTTCCGTTTTGTTGTGTAGAGGGTCACTGTCAGAAGGAGCTGGCTCTGTGGCACCTAACAGCAATGATTTTAGTGAAGATAACTGTGATCTTGTGGCTCCTCTGCAAGTGTTTTGGAGATCCCCAAGGTATTCAATGAGTCGTGGTTTAGTGCTGAGTTGCTAACCTCAGGGTCAGCAGTTTAAACCCACCAGCTCTGGAAGTGGCCACATTAGAAGTGCCAACTTGATGGTACTTAAAGGACATTCTTCCTGAAGACGAGAGAATAGTCACCTTTAGTATTGACTTTAATATTTAGTAAAATTTTTTGTTTCAAGACTATAAGCTATCCATAGGCGAAATGAAGTTTAGTGATTTAATTAAGAAAATGCTTTTTGCTAGCACAGTGCCATATACACAATGGGTTAAACAATTGAGCAACTGCGTAGTTGAATTGGTTACTGAGAGATTTGATTTGTGGAATGGTTGGAATAATTTCTAGAATTCTTGATTTTAAAAAGAAATGTAATATAGGCTAGATGGATTTCTCCAGAACCTTCTAGTCCTTCAACTCTTCATTGCAGCCAATTTTGTTCTTAGCTAAAGTACGATTTTCTTCTTAAATTAAGGAACCTAGAGGAAATAAAAAATTAACATTTTTATATTCTATTAGGCAGATCAGCAGTTGGTAAAGAAAGGAAAAAGCAAAGTTGGGGACATGTTGGAAAAAGCAGCTGAGTTATTGATGAGCTGTTTTCGAATCTGTGCCAGTGACACGTAAGTGTGGATTTTGTTGTCTGTTTGTGTCATGTATGTTACTTCTAGGTCCCTTATGAACCCCACAATCATTGTCACTATTTTCCTTTAAACAGTCGATTGCTTTGTAAGTGGTCTATTGCACTCACCCACATACTTGCAGCTCTCTTTCTGTAGATCTGTGTGTCTGTTTGGTGTCATCTTCTTTTTTGTGTCTGTCAGTGATTTACTAACAGACAAGGCCTAGGTTCTGTTTCTTCTTGGACACACCCAGAGTTGGGCCGTGTTGGCCAGAGGTCTTGCTTGGTGTGCTGGCCTCGAACCTTGAAGACCCTAGAAGAGACGCTGCCCTCTGTGGGCCCAAATCTTCTCAGGTCTTCCCGGAGCATGCTGTCCAGCCTGTTGGCAGGGCCTGCCTGTGGGTGCCATCCTTCACGTCCATCTGTCTGTTCAGAAGCCAGTCTGGGAATCTTGTACTGCTGTGGTCTGTACATAACGTTGATGACACATTCTACCTCCTCCTCAGTGAGCTCTCTGGGTGAGCTCCGTGTCTGCTCCCCCCCCCCCACACACACACACACCCCTGAGTAGCAGGGATGGCAAAGGCTGTTTCTCACCTCCCATCCACGGCAGTGTTGACTACTCGCAAAACGTGCTGGAACTTTCGGGATCACTGGAGACAGGGCAGGGACAGCAACAGCGGTGTATACACGTCCGGCGCAAGAGATGTTACCATTTTCTTTTCTTCTGAATACTTTCCTTTAGCATTTTTGTAAGCAAAAGTATAATTAACAGTAAACTCTAAATTTTTCTGAAAATGTCTTTTTTTCTTCCTTTAAAGAAAACACTTTTTATTATGAATTCGGTGAAGGTTTACAGTGATCCGTTTTTTTCAGTCAACAATTCACACACATTTTGTCTTATTGATGGCGACCCCCACAGTACAGCATGACTGACCCTGCTTCCTGTCTGTGTGTCCTGTTCCCATCCCCCTCCTCTCTGAGCCCTTCTGCTCCAGTCCTGGGGTTAATGCCACCTTGGATCTCCAGTGGGTGCTGCTTCTCAGGTGCGCCTTCCTCCCTGATACTGCCCCCTTGTGGACTCACAGGGGTGAGTTCATTTCTAGACTGGAGGGGTGACGAGGAGCCGTACTATTGGCATTCTACTAGTCTCTGTCTGACCAAGAAATCTGGTCTGTGTATGTGTGTGATTTGATTTTGTTTTGTTCCTCATTTTTCTCCCTCTCTGTCCAGGCCCTTCTAATGTAAACCACTTGCAGAGCAGTTGGCAGTGGTGGCTGAGCCCCATCTAGGTCTTCTCGCCTCAGGCTTGTGGAACTGGTGTTTGCATGGTCCACTAGGCCATTGAACTAAACGCGTCTCTTGTGTCCTTGATGTCCAGCACTCGGTCAGGGAGAAACCAATAGTTGCAGCTGAGCTTGTCTTCACTTACGAAGAATCATTTTGCTAAGTAGAGAACTCTGAACAAATTGACAGTTTTGTTTCCTTTTAGCACTGATTTCCTTTGTTTTTCATGACAAGTACGTTGTCATTCTTTTCTTTGTTTCCAGCATGTATACTGCGTCTTTTTCCTCGGGGTGTTTATTTCTCTCTGTTTCACTTTTAGGAATTGACTCTTCTGGGCCCACTTGTTTTTAATGTTGCACAGAGCTTGTTGGATCAAAGTTTTTAGCTTTTTACACTTTAAAACTTTTTTTTTTTTCTTCCCCACTCTCTCTTCTCCTTCTGGAACTCCAGCTACATGTATATTAGATCATACGTGTTGTTCTACAGACTGCTTATTTATTTAAATCATTTTTTCATTTCCTTTATTTTGGATAATTTGTCTTGATCTGCCTTCAAGTCGACTGATCTTTTCTACCATTATTTGTTTAATTATTTCTATTTCAGGAATTTAAAAATTAAATTCTGTACTTTTTTCTTATTTTTTATAAGTGGATAAGTTTGTATTGAGTCTTTTAGATTATAACATGAGATAAAACGAAAATTCCGTTTAACCATATTTTACATTTGTAGTAAAATATTTTACACTTCAAGGATTTATAATGAGATTACATTCCTCAAAAGTTGAGTGAGCATCAAGTAAACAGGATTTAATGAAACTCCTTGAATTTACTAGTTAACTCCTCCCTCAAACACAAAAGTAACCAGTTCTAATTAGTTACATACGTAAGTTTCTTCAAGTTCAAACCGACCTTGTCTTTAGACCTTGAACTCTTGCCATTTCAGTCAGTATCCACTAATTCTACTTCAACAATGAGTTTCACATTTGGTGGAATTTGGGCGTCAGGCTGTCCTTTCCTTCCGTAAGCCCGTTCTGGGTCAATCTCTAGTCGTCGAGCCTTGTCTCCCTGACTCATAGTCCATCCTCTGATGACTTTGCCAACTCCAACCTTAAAACTGAAAGGTTTGGCATTTTTCTTCTTCTTGGAACTTGTTTGAATATTAGTATCAAAAACAGTTCCGTCTTAAAGCGTTCCTGTGTACCAATAGTGAACAACATCTCCCTTTTGGGGAAAGTTGGTTTTGTCTCCCTTTTTCAGAATAGATTTTGTATATTTTGGTGGACCCTCTTCAAGAGCCTCTTCAGACTTGGTTTCCTTAGGTTTGTCATCATTAATCTTCACATTTTCACCTGCTCTGACACCTTACTTATACTTTCAGTACCTTTGAAACGCTTAGTTTCAAAAAGATGGTTATAGGCTGTAACCAAATGGTCCTTGTTAGCTGTCTTGGCCACATTTTTAATATTTCCTAGTAGCTTATGTTCTGCAAGAAACGAGTCTGAACCGTGTTCCTGCAGAAACTTGATAATGTCTTTCTTGGGCAGCTGCTCGCTACGCAGTTGTTCCACGGTCCACGTGCGCTGTGGAATGCTTGCCGCCATCTTCCCCTGCTGCCTCAGTTCTACTTTAAATTCTGTACTTTCCCTTTGATTTTATAGTTGCCATTTTTTTCCTGAAACCTTTATTATGGAATCACGCATCTATTTGATAGCACGCTCTAGGGACACTCTCCATGCAAAAACATTCATAAAAATTACTGTGCCTAGAAGACATTCTAGCTTACTCACTTTTCACCTTTCTTTTTCCTGCAGATCAGGGTTTAGCAGACTTTTTATGTAAAAGACCAGGTATTTTGGCCTTGGTGGACCATACTTTGTCATTGTAGTGTGAAAGGAAGCAAAGACAGTATTTAAATGAATAAATATGTCTTGTGCTCTGAAAAAAACACTTGAGTTCAGTGTTGAACATTGAAATTGGAATTTCATATAGTTTTTACATTTGATGAAAAATTACTCTCTTGATGATTTTTAAATCATTTAAAAACAAAAAATCATTATTCGTTTACTCGCTGCTCTAATACAGCCAGCAGACCAGACTGGGCATGTGGCCTGTTTGCCAACTCCTGATCTGTCATTGCTCCTCAGCCTTTAGTGAGAAATAGACTTATCTGAAGGGCTTGTTACATCCCGGCTTGGTGGGCCCAGCCCCTGAATTTCGGATTGAGTCGTTCTGGAGCAGGCCTGAGAACTGGCATTGCTGGCCTGTGCCCAGGGGCCGCTGCTGCCGCAGTTATAAATGGGCAGGAGCCCGAGGCGGAGTGATTGGGAAGGGAGGACACAGGGTAGGCCTACACTGCACAGTTTCATGTCATCAGATCCCCTTGTCCCAAAGGGGAAGGTTGGTTGCGTTATCTGTGAAGCTGTGATGAAGTTAGAACTTTGTGATACGAAGGGATTGATTGGCTTGTCCTTCGTTTATGGTGGCACACATGTTAGAAACCCTTGTGTGGTACAAACCGTAAGGTTGGAGACTTGAGTCCAGAGCAAGTACCACAGAAGAAAGCCCTGGTGGTGTGCTCTGAACACTCAGAGCTGGAACTCTGTGGAGCACAGCTGTACTCTGACAAACCTGGGGTTGCTGTGAGTCAGGGTAACTCAGTGGTACCTGGCAAACATGCCACATGTCAAAAAGCTTAAGGAAAAGCTGTAAGAAGGGCTTTTCATATTTGCACTTCCTCAGTTCAGATATGTCTGCCTGAGTGAAATTGTCTTATAAACTTGGCCTGCCTTGATGAAGAAGAATTTTCAAACTCTTGTTAATCTTGTTCAGTCGTATGAGGCCATCAGAGCTTGGGGATTTTCCCAAGGCAGTGGCGCTGTAAGGTAAGCACTGGATTGCTAACCACAAGGCTGGTGGTTCAAGCCCACCGGCTGTACCCTGTAAACTCTATACAGGGTGGCTGTGAGTCAGCACTAACACAGTGACACTTAGTGACAGTTCTACAGCTGTAGCTTCAATGAAGATACCTGGGAAGTGTGCACTCCAGAGCATCAGCACTGGCTTCTTCCTGCTGAAGCTGGGATTCTGGTCTTTTAAAAATTCTCTTTCTACTTGTGCAGATTTTGTGATATTTATGGAAATAATCCAGTGTTCATCACTTGATGAAGATATAAACAAAATGTGCTGTATCCACACAATGACGTATTATTATTCAGCTACAAACAGGAGTGCTTCAATGGGTGAACCTTTAAAACAGGCTAACTGACAGAAGTCAGAACAAAAGGTCTCCTATTGTATGACTCCATTTATATGAAATACACAGAGCAGGCTCATCTGTTGAGACAAAAATGGAGCCATTTCCTGTTCCTGCTGTCACCTAGGAGAGCAGCTGGGGCTGTGCTCGTCTTTCCTACAGGCGCGCTCTGTGTCACATTGCCAGGGGCTACAAGGAAGCGTGGTGGCCAGTGATTCCTGATGGGGATGGCGGTGAAGTGTGCGTACCCTGGAATCAGGCAGTGGTGGTGCTTGTACAGATTTCTGAATGACTGAAAAGCACTTAATTATAAACTTGAAAAGGGTGACTTTTATGGCATGTGAATTAGTTACACATCGGGCTGTTAGTCTCAAGGTCAGCAGTTCGAAACTACCAGCTGTTCCGTGGGAGAAAGATGAGGTTTTCTGCTCCCGTAAAGACTTACAGCCTCGGAAACGCTGTGCAGGGTCACTATGAGTTGGAACCAACACCATAGCGCTTAACCACCACCACCCAAGAAAAGTTTAGACCTTTGGAGGAATGATATTTAAGAGATTAAATATTTAAGGGGTAACTGGGAAAAAGTCTGGAAGTAATAGAAAAAGAGGCAGAAGGTGCATTAGGAGTAACTGATATCATGAATCCGTAGTGAGGAATTCAGAAAGAGATTATTGACAAGTTACTAGTTGATTGATGAGGGAATAGACTTGGCATAGGGAATTGAAGGACATGAGAAATGGCTGTGGTGGGAAGAAGATTCCCAGAGACTCTGTTGGAACCACCGTGCAGTGTGGGCAACTCACATGGGGAATAGTACTCTATCCCGGAGCCAGGCAGCTCTGTACTGCTCTGCGGATTCCGTGTTGGTCCATCTTTGACCATTCTGAAACCATACACTGCTTCCCTTTTCTGATACTAGAAAGCCTAAGGCTGTACTGCATACTAGAAATCTCCCTTTTGGGTTTGGATGGTTAAGATTTCACCCAGCGTACTACTAAACTTTGCAAAGACTTCTTTGTAAGGCTCTGTGATCGTATTTCTTTTAATTGACAAAGCTTTCCCCTTGGGAATCACTACTTTTATCACATTTCTCCAGAAGAGGTGCCAAATTACCATAAATATAATAGGATATTTAATATAAATAAGTATTTGCCTCTGCCTTCAAGCTCACCAGCTGCTCCTTGGAAACCCTATACAGGGTCGTTATGAGTTGTAATCGACGGCACTTAACAACAACAACAACCTCCCTGCCTGTCTGCCTGCCTTCCTTTCTTTCATCCTTTAAGGCAGCCAGACCAGTATTGGTATTTGTCTCCATTTTACAGATGAAATTGAAACCTAGAGAGAAAGGAAGTATTGGTCATACAACTAGTTAATGACAAAAATTGTGTGAAAGAGCTGATTGCAACAATTAAATGAACAGTTATCCTAAAATAAGCCGTTTTCTAAAACAATGTTCTCTGTGGCACATTTTGGTCTTGAGGAATCATTTGCTTTATTTTTTCTGTGCATTGACTTCATGTTCTTGAGCATTTCCTGAGTAAGGAGTGAGGCCTGGGGTTGAGACTGGTTAGATCTAGGCTAGGCCTAGGACTTGCTTTATTGTTAGGGCATGGTTCGGACTAGGGGTAAGTGTTAGGCTTGGGCTAGGAGTAAGGCTTGGGCTCGTTTTTAGGGTTATAGTTAAGTTTTATTTTTATTATTATTTGATTTCCTCTTCGTTTGGAAGTTAAATAACTGGATTATTCCATCTTTTTACTTTATAGGGGTCTTTTTTGTTCTCTATTTTCTGTCTTGGTCTGTTTTACTTTGCATACTTGTGTCTCTGGGTTGAATCCAGGGGATACTGTCATGTATGTTAGTCTCAGGTGTTTGCTTGTTGATCCTCTGTTGAAAGAACTCTCTTTGGTATTTTTTATTAAATTGGTCTTGTTTTTTGAAATTCTTCTAATTTCTGTTGGGCTGAAACCTGATTTCACTGTTTATTTGATGGACGGTTTTGCTGAGTTTATGATTCATGGTTGGCGATTTCTTTTCTCTTAGAGTTTTATATATGTCATTTCATTGTCTTCTTGTCTATATGGTTTCAGCTGAGAAACCACAAGTTAGTCTTCCTCTAGCTCTCCTTTGTAGGTAACTTCCTTTTTCCTGTTCTCAGGATTCTTGCCTTTTCTTTGGTTCTGAAACGTTTGATTATAATGTCTTGGTGTTTTTCTTTTGGGGTTTGTTCATTCAGCTTCTTGAATGGCTCTCTTATCTTTCATGATGGTAGGAAGTTTTCTCCCAACAACTCTTGGATAATATTCTCTATGGGTTTTATGTTTGTTTGTTTCTTCCTGTTCTGGAATTCCTATTACAATTAAATTATTCTGTTTGATAATATCCCACATAAATGTTAGGGTTTCTGTTCCTCATGGCATGGCATTGTAGGAGAAGCACTGACCACAGGGTCCTTGAGGCTGAAATGTCCACAATTCAAGTTCATCCGTCCCTCCTGGGAAATCCTGATGAGTCAGAACGGCTGAGTGGGAAGGACCTACTCTGCAGGCAGTGAACAAGGACGACTGCAGCAGATACCGGTTGAGAGCGTTTTCTTCACGCTCGGCAGTTCAGCTTTGCACTGATTCAGCCCTGTTACCTATTAGCGATAGCTTAGTGTTAAGCTCCTTGCTTGCTAATAGCTTCATTTGTATCATTCTCATTTTCTCAGTTTGGTTCCTGAGTTTTACCCCATAGTTTTGTCTACGTTTTGTTTGATTTTGTCTGTATTTTTTTCAATTTTTTTCACAATCCACTGATACTGCCTAATTAACATTCTTTTAAATTCCTTATCAGGTAGTTCTAATACCATCTGGTGGTATATTTTCTAACTCTGTTTTTTGGTCACTTGTTTGAGGCATTCTGTCTTATTCTTGGTATAAGCTGAAATGGTCTGTTTTCTCGGAGACATTGTGCAGGAAGGGAGGGGTACCACTGGTCATGTGTACCATTAACACTTTGTTGTTGTTGTTAAGTACCGTGGAGTCGGTTCTGACCCACAGCGACCCTGCACAGGGTTTCCGAGGCTGCAAATCTTTACGGGAGCAGAAAGCCTCATTTTTCTCCCGTGGAACAGCTAGTAGTTTCGAACTGCGACCTTAACCCAATTCGTAACCACTACGCTCCCAGAGCTCCTTATTAACACTTTAGTATACTTGTTTTAGCATACCTTTCATGTATTTTTTTTCCTTCTAGCCATCCATCAAATTAGCCTTTCTTCATGCATTTCAAAGTAAATGGTAGACAACAGTACATTTTATGCATCACTAAACTTGCTCATGAACTAAACTCTGAGTTTCACTTTTGACTTTTGAGGTAAATTGCATGTAGAGAATTACACAAATCTTAACTGTGTGTTTGTTGTATTTTGAAAACAGAAGACAGCTGTCCAACCCACACCTCTTGAAGGAGGTCTTGTTAGTCTACTGTGAGTCAGCGACCCCGTCTGTGCACAACAGACTGAAACTGCCCAGACCTGCGCCTTCCTCACAATTGTTGTCATGTGTGAGCCCACTGCTGCTGCCACTGTGTCAGTCCGTCTTGTTGGAGGTTTTCCTCTTTTTCAATGACCTTGACCCGCCACTTTATCAAACATGATAGACCTTCTCCGGGGACTGCTTCCTCCTGAGAACATGTCCACAGTATGAGAGACAAAGTCTGACCATCCTGGCTTCTAAGGAGCACTCTGGCTGTGCTTCTTCTAATGCAGATCTGTTTGTTTGCTTTTCTGGCAGTCCATGGTATTTTCAGTATTTCTGCAACATCTTAATTCAAATGCATGGATTTGTCTACGGTTTTCCTTATTCATAGTCCAGCTGTCACATAAATATGAAGTGATGGAAAATACTATGGCTTGGGTCAGGCGCACCTTAGTCCTCAAGCTGATGTCTTTGGTCTTCAACTCTTTAAAAAGGTCTTGTGCAGAAGATTTGCCTAATGCAATATGTCGATTTGATTTGACTGCTGCTTCCATGAGTGTTCATAGTAGATTCAAGAAGAATGAAGTCTTTGACAGCTTCAGTCTTTCTCCTAAATTTCCTCATTCCCCTTCACAAGCAATTCCTCATCTCTCCCCAAAGACAGCCATCATTCTGATTTTTTTCACTATAGATTAGTTTTGTCTGTTCTGGAATTTTTGGTGTCTTACTTTTTTATGAGATTCATCCATGTTGCATATTTCAGCAATTCATTTTGTTTGTAATGAGTGAAGATATTGATAGTTAAAATATGTCTTATAGCAATTAGCTTTTACATAATATTACTGCAAACTAAACAGTTCTCAGCTGATCATGAAATTGGTACAGCAGGAGAAACATATTATCCACATAATTTAACTACGATTAGAATTCCTGTTTTACCGATTAGATAAAAATGCCTTCTTTTATAATTTTATTTTATTTGAATTGAGCTGTGAGATATTTATCTCAAGATAGTAATTTATTTAGCAGATTTATTTTGTGATTTATAAATAACAATTTTATTTCCTATATAACTTTCAAAAAATTGTATTTTTACAGTCGTGCTGGAATAGAGGATTCTAAGAAGTGGGGGATGCTGTTTCTGGTGAATCAGTTATTTAAGATTTACTTTAAGGTATGCTTCGGATCTAGTACTTTATATCTAAACATTTTCTTCCTCCCTGTGTTCCCAGATACTCCTAATTATTAGCTAGCTTCCCTGGCATTCTTTGGGAAATGATCATCATCTTTGCATAATCAGAACAACTGACATTTACCAAAGTGCCTACTAAGTGCAAGGCACTGTTTAAATGCTCACATGTGTCATTGTATTCAAGTGTTAGTCCCAGGACTCAAAGGTTGTTACCAGCTCTAGGGGAAACTAAGGCAGGCACCAGGAAGTATGTGGACCTGGCCTTTAGATGCAGGCGGTTTTAGTCCAGACGCTTGTGCCCTGTGTTGTAATAACTTTAACTGTTTAAAAGCACATGGTTGGGTAGATGGACAAACCAGTTGTTCTTGCTACATAAAGCTGGCCAGGTGAAGGGCAGCTGTGTCATGCGTCAACAGCTGGAATTGGGATCACTGTTCTCAGGGCTACATATTGGACCTGCTTCCCCTGTCCCTGCTGCTGCCAGTCCCGGAACATCCTTTCAGCTGCCCCGGAGGGGGACGCTGTCTTTGAAGTGCTTCTTGGGGCCTTCCAAAGTCAATGTGACATACACCTGCCATGTCAGTTTGTATTTTGTATTCTTTATGCTTGAGTAGCTAATTTTAATGTGTGAACTTGATTTCTAATTCTCATTAAGGAGGCATATGCTAGTAAAGTAGACATTTTTATTTACTACCTACCTTTTAAGAAAAATTTTTAAATGGATTGTTATTCATTATAGATCAATAAACTCCATTTGTGTAAACCTCTAATTAGAGCAATTGACAGCTCAAATCTGAAAGAAGATTATAGCATTGCACAGAAAGTTACGTACAAATACTATGTTGGACGCAAAGCTATGTTCGACAGTGACTTTAAACAAGGTATGTTACTAACTTTTTTCTAGTATTTTAAATAAGACGTTGCATCTTGAGCAACTGAGTGTAAGTCTTTCAGAGCCCATCGTTGCTGTGTTTTGTTGTTGGATAAAAAGGAAGACCCCCAATGAGATGGATTGGTACAGTGGCAGCACCAGTGGGCTCAGGCGTAGCAGTGGTTGTGAGGTTGGCCCAGGACTGGGCAGTGTTACGTTTTGTTGTGCGTAAAGTCACTATGAGTTGGTGGCAACTCATAACAGCAACAAAGTGGAATCACAGGAGGGCTTCCAAAATTTCTAGAAAAAATAATAGAATTTTTCAACAAACTTTTTTTGGTGTATATATGTAAATTATGCTGTATTCTTTTTTTTTTTTTGACACTGTGGTGGTGTGGTCCTATAGGATAAGCGCTAGACTTTTAACACCAAGGTCAGCAGTTCAAACCACCAGCCACTCCTTGGGAATCCTATACAGGGTTTCTGTGAGTTGGAAAGGACTCAATAGCATTTAACAACAGCAAAGTTAATTAAATAAATAAAAATTAGATGTGAAAATCTGTTGTCCATACTGGGTTTCTAGATTACACATTAGTGTTACAGTGTATCTTGAATGGCCTTTTCATTGTTGTGTGTGTGTGAAGTTGTTAAGTGTATGGCTAGTCATTAAGTTGAATATAAGAAATTTTTTTCTCTGTCATTTGACCTATATTTATATGCTAACAACAAGGTTGGTGGTTCAAAGCCGCCAGCTGCTGCTCAGAAATTCTCTCTACAGGGGGCACCACTCTGACTTGATGGCACTGAGCAGCAGAGCAAATAGTGAACCCTGAAACTGGTACTCATCATGCCTTCCAGATGACCTGAGGCAGATCACAATCACAACGAAAGTTACCTTCTTCACGTTTTTCCTCTGTTAATAGCACTTTCTTGACTGTTGTTTTGTAATTTGGTGCTGTAGATTTTACTTAAGAAAAATCACTGAAATGAAATGAGGTTACTGTTTTTTGTGATGATAACGGAAGTAGCTTTTTACGTTTCTGTAAGGATGAAATGAGAGACTAGGAGGGTAAAGGAAACTGTAATCATTCACTCTTACTGAGCGTGTTGAAGGTTCCCCAGATGCTGTGGGCCTGGCTTTGACTGGGGGCCCTGGCCTGTGTCTCTGCAGCTGAGGAGTACCTGTCGTTTGCCTTTGACCGATGCCACCGCTCAAGTCAGAGGAACAAACGGATGATTCTCATCTATTTGCTTCCAGTGAAAATGCTGCTGGTACGTGACTTTATAGATCACATTGCTTTAGAGAAGTTGATCAACTTTTTAAAACACATCAGATGGTGGATACTTGATCACAACCTGAAGTGGATGTAAGCATGTTCTCAAGATAGAGAATGAATAAGGATTGGCATGTGACCTGGCCTATGTCTCTGTGTGCTTCATACTTTAGTTCCTTTTAGAAAGGCTGTGCCTCTGTTTTCTTTGTCTTAAAAGCACTAACTCAAAAGCTTAGCATATGACAAGTAAAATATATGCATATTATTTTCATTTCTTCTTAAAGTTCTGAATGGTTACTATTAATAAAGACAGATTGCCAAGAAAGGAAAATGCCATGCTACCCTGTCTGCAGGTATTTTATTTAGTTATCAGCAATTATTTTTGATATTTGAAAAGAAATGCCAAATAACTGGTAAGTTAATTGACTAAAGCATTCTCAAAGTGATAGATAGAGCCGTCTTTCCTCCTTAAAAACAACAAACCTACCAAAGCACGATGTAATCAATACGATTGAAACCTGAAATCATCAGAATCGCGTGCAATGGAAAGGCGCCAGTACTGTTGAATCTTCCCTGCTTCCAGTCCTATTTCACGTAGACAACCAATTTAAAGATTTTTAACTGCTTCCTCTGCAAAACATTTCCATATTCTTAAATCTTAGGTTTATACCATAATTTCTTTAGTGAGCACTCCCTTCCCTATTATCGAAATGATGAGAGACATGAGACCCTGAGAGAACAAGGTCAGGGTTACGTGTCCTTTGAATGACAAATCTGCACTGTATAGGTTTTCTGATTTCTGAACAGAAATTTTTTTCTTTTTTTGGTATACTATGATGTTTTAATCTTTGTCCAGTTACTTTAGATGAATTTCTAAGAAAACAATTTGCATTCTGTCTTATACTTAATTCCTTGACAAATAATTTTATTGAAACCAAAATTTTGTTTAAAATAAAAACGTTTACCAAACTGTAACCCTAAAAGTAGAGCAAGCCTTACTTGTAGCCCTCACCCAGTCTCTACCCTAACACTAGCCCTAACCCTCCCCCCTAAAAATAAATATGTAAAAATTAATTTAAAGGAAACCGTTTTTATTTTGGAAAATGAATTCTTTGTTTTAGGGTCACATGCCAACTATTGAACTCTTGAGGAAGTACCATCTTATGCAGTTTGCCGAAGTAACTAAAGCTGTAAGGTAATGTTTTATCTCTGTCATTGGGATTTAAGGTAATAATAATGAAAATGTCTCTCATTTTATATAAGAAATCATTGCTTTATGCTGATATCTCTTCTTGGGAGCATGTTTTATAATTATTCTTGCCTATCTGTTCACTCTCTCATCCCCAGTGAAGGCAATCTCCTACTACTGAATGACGCTCTGACAAAGCATGAAACCTTTTTTATTCGCTGTGGCATTTTCCTTATTCTTGAGAAACTGAAGATCATCACCTACAGGAATCTTTTTAAGAAAGTGTAAGTGCAGTGTGCTGTCTTTCTCAAGCTCGGAGTATGAGCTATGAAAAACACCACAGGAAGAGTTGGTCCATGCATTCCTTTGAGATAAGGATGTACGCGCTGTGCCTTTAGGTTTTATTATTTCCCCTTGAATTGTGTGAACTGAAAGTTCCCAAACCTACTCATTGCCTCTTAATTGCCCTGACGTTGTGATGGATGACTAAACAATGCTCTGTCAACACTTTGAGAAAAGGCAGTTGGTTCTGTCTGTCTAGCACAAGGTGATGTGTGACAAGAGAACCTTGTAAAACACATGTTTAAATGGTTGGTCCTGTTATTGTGAAATGTCATCGAGTCATTTTCAACTCCTAGCAATCCTGTATTGGTTTCCCGAGGCTAGAAATCTTTTAAAGGAGCAGAAAGCCTTATCTCCATCCCTCCCCACCCCCCACCCCCAAGGAGCTGCTGATGGTCTCAAACTGACAACCTTGTGGTTAGCAGTCCACTGCTTATCCTACAGAGCCACAGTGCTCCGTAATGTTGGCCCTAGGAATCAAATACTTCACCTTTTTTCAGAACATGTAGACTCACTGATCAGTTTATTTATGACCAGCTACAGCACCCTCTCGACTCCTGGCATAGCACCGTAAGTCCAGCACTGGACTGGGAGCCACAAGATCGGTGGTTCAAACCCACCAGTTACTCCTTGGAAGCCCTGTACAGGATCCCTGTGAGTCAAAACCAACTCAACAGCACTTAACAACAACAACAAAACAGCCATTATTACCTTTTTTTGTCAGAAAGTTCAATCTTTATATAATTGTTCCTTATTCTTACCTGTAATAGTAGAAGTTGACTCTTCTCTGAGACCTTGTCCAAAGAATCTTAATTTAACTTCAAACAGAATCAGGCTTTTAGCTGTGAGTAATATATCAAAATTAGTGAAGATAATATTTTATTGATTATAAGACATTATCCATTGTAAAATGTATCCCGACTTCAGAGATACTAAAATGTGAAGAACTATGTATCTTACGGGAGTCCTGGTGTTGCGCTGTGGGTTAATGCACTAGACTGCAAGGTGAGCTGTTTAAAGACACCAGCCGTTCCTTGGAGACCCTGTGGTCATTGTGAGTCAGAACCAACTTGACGGCACTTAACAACAACAACATAGGTCTTAGATTCATTGAACTAATAAGTATTGAAACAAATATTTATTCTGTACCTGCTTGAAATTGGAAAGTCAGAATTATTATATTTAATAGTTCTAATTTTCCGAGATATCTAATAATTGAGAAAAAATTTTCACTCCTACTGAACAGTAGTTTATTTAAAAGGTGCTTCTCCCCTCCCCCCTTTTCATTTTAATTGATTCACTTTTTCTTGGCCTTTGAAATGTTTCTTAATCATTAGTAAACTGAACTTGTGTTTTCTTCCTTCAGGTGTTTGTTACTGAAAACACACCAGCTGTCTCTAGATGCTTTTCTCGTTGCCTTGAGATTCATGCAAGTAGAAGATGTGGATATTGATGAAGTCCAGTGTATTCTGGCTAACCTCATATATATGGTACATGTCTCCTTGTGGTAATTTAAATAGCTATTCACAGGACAATCTCCGGAGAATTTGAGTCTTTAATATAGTGGTAGAAAAAGTATTTAAAAGGTCTTTTGCTTTTGTGAAGGTATGTTTCACTAGAACTAACGGTATTCCAGGAAATACCATCGTATTCAGAGGACTTTATAGCAGGTGGATGAGTGGACACCATATACCAGGGAGCTTCAGAAAGGCTGTGGGAAAATGCCCTCATCTTTTCTTTCTATTTCTCCATGGACTTTCTGATGCACCTTTGTGTATTTATATGTTTTCTACCACATTTGCAGAGACTCAGTGTTATCTCCTTGAATTGAATTGCACTGTTATTGGGTGGAGGTCCCTGGTGGTACAAATGGTCGGCACCTGGCTGCTAACTGAAAGGTTGGAAGTTCGAGGCCACCTAGTGGTGCCTTAAAAGAGAACCCTGGCATCCTGTGTCTGAGAAAATCAGACGCTGAAAACCTGATAGAGCCCACTTCTACTCAGACGGAGGTGGGCTCACCGTGGATTGAACTGGCTTGACAGCACCTGGGTGTTTGTGTGTGTTTTAGATGACTGAGAGAGAAGGCTTATGTCAAGGGCCTAGCTAAGTAATCATTCAGCATCTTTGTTGTAACTCAAATCCAGAAACAGAAGGCCAATTGTACTTGTCTTTCTCCTGCAGGGCCACATTAAAGGCTACATATCCCATCAGCATCAGAAGCTAGTTGTGAGCAAGCAAAACCCGTTCCCTCCACTCTCAACAGTGTGTTGACTAGCTAACCCTGGAGACACCGTTAACGTTACTCAGATTCTTGACGGTGTGTTGACTAGACAACCCTGGAGACACCGTTAACGTAACTCAGACTCTCTCCAAGGCCGCTTTTCCCGGGATGCTGACTCTGAGTTTGCCCTCAGACACATCTGGATGACGACGACAAGTGTTCTTTTATCATTCCTAAAGAAGGCTCACCTGACAGAGATTCAGAAGTCCTGTCTCAGAACAGTGAAAACCCCTCACTTGGCCCTGAAGTAGTCTCAAAACTCTGGCAAAGGAGGCTTTGTCGTTAAGGCAGCTAACAGTTTCCTCTGTATAAATGTTGTTCATATAGACTAGCTTTGTAATTTTTGGTAAATTTCTATAAAAAAAGATGTTTTGAACTTAAACAAATGGCATGTTTTTTTAATTATTATTTTCTTTTCCAAGATCCACCTTTTTTAAATATTAAAAAGGCTTTTTTTTTTTTTTTCAAAACTTGAATTTAATTGTATTTAAAATTTTCAAATTTTATAGCCTGCCATTTTCATCTTTTTCGAAGTGTCTTCATTGCCTCTGTTTATGAAAAAGTGACTAAGGAAAAAAACTTGGTGAGAAACTATTTTAACTCATCTTTTCAGTGTGATCAAATCTGAAAGCTGTTCCTTCCCCTTGTACAGAGGAAGCGTTCTAGAAGCTTCAGTTCCCTTTTATTCTCCAGGGACTATGTAACAGGAGTGCTGGTGGCACTGTGGAATAAGCACTGGACTGCTAACGGAAGGTTCAAGTCCAGATTTTGTGCTCCCAGAAGACTTCCAGGCTTAGAAACTTCATAGAGGATCACTGAGTCCGAGCTGACTTGATGCACCCTAACGGCTACATAACGAACCACTTTCATAGCTCTGCCAGGTTCCTCTTACATTCCAGACCACTCTAAGAGTTAGTGCCTTCAGATAACACTCCTCAACTCTGCTCAGGAATCTGCCATTGGCTCAGGGCTCAGCGAGGGTAACGGAACTGATGCCCCACTTCCAAGATGGCTCATTCACATGGCAGACGCAGTGGTGCTAGCCCGTGTCCTGGGCGTGGGCCAGGGTCTGCGTTACCTCTTTACATGGGCCTCTCCAAGGTGTACTTGGACTACCTCACTGCATAGCGATTGAGTCAAAAAGTGATAAGCCCAAAAGAATCAGGTGGAAGTCAGCTCACCTATTATGAGCTAGTCTTTAGTCACATAGTCTGAATTCTGCATTGGGAACGTCCAGATTCAAGCTGGGAGAAACATCATCAACTCCACCTCTAGATCCTGAATGTCGAATGACACAAGTGCGTGGAGGTTCCATGGCAGTGGGTTTTACTGACTCTAGAGCTGTTTCTCTCTTCACTTAGCACCATGTTAAACTGAGCCACCAGCATCCATAAACAGAGCAGGATGGCCACTCGGACAGGCATAGAAGGACTTCAGACCAGGACGTGGATTCTGTTTCCATAAGCTTCCTGTCATAGGTTCCTCTCCACCAGACCCTGTTCTCTTACAGCATTGCACGTGGGAATCTCATCCTTCAACAGCCGTTGAAAACTTGGTTTTTATAGTAATTTGAATGTTTCACTTTCTTTAAATAATACCTGAGTTTGATAACATCTTTTTTTAAACGCAGTAGAAAGCTGCCGTTTGTCAACATTTTAAGGCCATTTATTGAATAATACTTAGTGATGTGTATAATCAGTAATTGACAGTTTAAGGTAATATATGATTAAACTTAGCAATAGACACACACGTATGTATATGTATATACATACACGCTTTGTATAAAAGTCTCTGAGAAGTGACCTACGTGAGGTACAGGAGCATACACAAAGACATTCAGCGTTGAGTTTGTTGGCAGTGGTCATCAAATAGTCACTCTATGACCCCCAGAAAATGTCACCTAAACTGAGCTCGCTTCTTGATCTTGAGTTTGTGTGTTTTGTTGGTTTATCTACAGTGGCTTCTAGAATTTATTAGACTTTATAATGCCAGTTGAGCAATTATTTTCAATTTGGAGGTCCCTTCGTGCCTCAGCTGGCATTTCAGGCCTTTGGTCTTCTCTGTAAGGGTCTTGGTTTTGACTGCAAAGTCAATTTGAACCGCAGGGTCAGTGGTTCAAGCTCACCAGCTGCTCCCTGGAAACCCAGGTCGGAACCAGCTTGATGGCACATCACCACCACCAGCATTTACTATTAGTGAACTTTTCCATTTGCTTATGCTGTGTTGATAAATTTTCTAATTGGATTTCTCCTCTGACTTGTAGTAAACTTGTGTCTGCAGTGCAGATTACTGCTGCAGGGCTGACTGCTGGCATTGCTCCTGCATTAGTCACATCAGTGCTGCAGGGCTTTCTTAACGTTTTAAAATCATGAGTAGACCTTTAAGCAGAGTCCCTGGGCAGTCCAAGTGGTGAACACGCTTGGCTTCTACCACAAAAGTTGGAGATTGGAGTCTGCTCATGGTGCCCACCACTCGTCTGTCAGTTTGTCGTACTGTGGTGGCATTCTGAAAGCTATGCTACCGGTATTTTAAATACC